AAAAAGCCAAAGTTCCTTATTCTGATATTGTCAAAGAACAAAGCCGTCTTTATTTATTTATTTTTACAGGTGATCATGTTTCATATTCACACCCCTTAATAAAAAAGAGCATTTTATGTTTGTACCTATGACAGTAATTTTCATCATTAGCTTGCATACTTAACCCTAGTGTAATGACATGAGGAATGGAAAAAATCTTGGCCAATGAGTATTTCTTTTATTTGCTTTTATTTTATTTTTTTAAGATTTGTTTATTTAAGTAATCTCTACACCCAACGTGGGACTTGAACTCACCACCCTACAATCAAGAGTTGTATGCTCTACCGACTGAGCCAACCAGGCACCCCTCTTTTATTTACTTTTAAAAGAATTAGAAGTTAAATATTTTTCTAATAATTCAAGGTATGTCTTTCCCATCAAGATTATAAGCTTCTCAGGAACTGACTTTGCTCCAGAATTTTATTGCATACTCAGCTGGCAGGTATTGACTTCTGACAAATGATGTTGACAAACTAACAGAGGATTGCGGGGGTGAGGCTGATAATGTGTCAGGCAGTCACAAAAAGAAACATACAAACAAGACCACCAAAACAAAAGAAGCTTTAACAAACACAAGAAAAAGCTGCTTTTTATTCATTAATTTTGTCGGCTGTTTCTGTATGTTTGCAACCAAGAAGTAGCAAATGCGAAAAATTTAAGAAAATGTTATATAATGAAAGCAAATCAAGGGGAAAAAAACTATCCATTGAGATAAATATTTTTCTGTATTTTGGGGTTTTTTAGCAGGAAAACACCAATATGCTGAGGTTGAGTAATACTGGGCTGAGAAAATGTTGATCTTTGCATCCCCACTGTAAAATAAAATTCTGATGAGGGAGGGTGGTCTTACTCTACTTTGTTCTGGTGCAGGAACCAAATGTCTCCCCCTTATGTTCCAGTTTCTAATTGAGACTCGGTGTCAGGAAGCAGATGGATAATGGTGTGACAAATCTGTATAGAACTGAGAATTCTGGATACCTGTCATGGGCTTGGTTCATAGCATGTATCTTCCTCCAAATCTTCTCTATTGTTGACGTTTGGTCCTGCCCTGAAGCAGACTTGTATGTCCTCTACTTCTGTCTTTTGTTTTTATGGTGGCAGTGCCTGCCAGATTGAGCTTTGTAGCTGCTGGTAGAACTTCCAGGGCAAAGTTGTGTCTCATCTGAAGCCCTGCTCTGGTATTTCTGCAAATCTGGTTTCTTCAGCTTATTTTAGTTCTCTTTTACCTCATCACACCTGACAGTATCTGCTCGAGTCTCTCTCTCTTTTTTTTTTTTTTCCCTGCTCGAGTCTCTTAAACACTTGTTATCTGTTCAGTGGCATAGCTAATCTAGGCGGTACCATTCCGGACTAGTTTTTTTGGAACTGCTCTCATATTTAATACTAAAATAGGCTACTGATAATGGAGGAGACTGACTCTGGTTCCTGTATTCTTTTATTCCAGAATGCTCTTGCTCTATAAACATGCTTTTGATAGCCAACAATCAGGAAGTAAGAGTCCTAAGCCCTTATCACCACTGAGATTGAGAGAGGGGAAAGCTAGTAAGAGAGACACACATCTGGTAAGAGGTCACACCATAAGAGCACAGGAGGGCCGTGTTTCATAGGTGACTTAGTTAAACTCAGCTAATGTACACACTTATAGGATGTTTTAACCAACAAACTGTAGTAAATATATTATGATTGCTGGGCATTGGAAACATTTGAAATTACATGTTGCCACAGTAACTTCTAAAATGATAGATCTTAAAAAAGAAAACAGTTTTTGCTCTATTGTATCGGAAGCAGCCCTTAAGGAGTTCAGCAGAGTTGCAGTTGTTCCTAATGGTCTATGAACGAATTTTCCTTGAGGCTTATTTTCATCATTGTTGGTACTTAACAGTGAAATAAGAGTAAACACTTATTATGCCCTTATGTGCCTGACAGTGTGTTATAAATGCTCTAAAATACCTCGTTTAATCCTCAGGAATAGCTCTGAGAGATAGATAATGTCCATTTTCATAGAAGCATTTACTGCCCAACTCACTGATGAGTCCTGATCACTCTTTGGGGGAATTCTGCTTCCAGGCCAAAGTGAATAACCAGAGTGTACTTTTCCAGAAACCTTCCCCCCCATACACAGTCTCTCCCCTCCAGGAAAATGGTGCAGACCCCAGAAGAAGTTGTGAGAGAAAGGGGGTTTGTCTTTGGCATCCTACTTTAATGCAAACACCAAAACCTCCCTATTGAGAGGATGAAAACTGAACTCCCTCCTTTAAAGTCAAGTTCCTCTTGCTAAAATTTTAGTCCCTGCTACACTTCAAGTACCCAAGTAGAGTACTTTAGATCGGCCTCTCTTAGGCCTTGATAGGTGTTAAAGACCCCAGTGGACTATGATAGGAGCCTGGGGGCACTGGGCTTTAGGGTTGGACTTTACTTCCTGGGCACCCACCTTTCATGCCAGTATACAGGCCATTTTCCCTGGTATTTGGGTAGGAGTCCAGGAGTCCAGGAGGTGATAAGCGAGTTTTCTTTTTTCAACTCAGTTTTCTTTCTGACATGAGTCCAGAGCAGTTTCCTGAGCCTAATATCTTCATGCGTAAGAGGAGGGATCAGATTGCTTTTTTTTTTTTTTTAAGATTTTATTTATTTATTCATGAGAGACAGGGGCGAGGGCGCTAAGACACAGGCAGAGGGAGAAGCAGGCTCCATGCAGGGAGCCCAATGAGGAACTCCAGGATTACGCCCTGGGCCAAAGGCAGGCGTAAACCGTTGAGCCACCCAGGGATCCCCAAATTTTAGGGGATTTTCTTTAAAAGAAGGTTTTCTCGGGATCCCTGGGTGGCGCAGCGGTTTGGTGCCTGCCTTTGGCCCAGGGCGCGATCCTGGAGACCCGGGATTGAATCCCACGTCAGGCTCCCGGTGCATGGAGCCTGCTTCTCCCTCTGCCTGTGTCTCTGCCTCTCTCTCTCTCTCTCTCTCTCTCTCTCTCTCTGTGACTATCATAAATAAATTAAAAAAAAATAAAAAAAAAAGGTTTTCTCACAGCGTACCATATTTTTCAATGTTGAAATTTGTAATTAAAAATCTTAAGATAGGAAATTTGTATCGTTTTTGTGGGAATGTAATACACCAAAAGGCTATGTTGCTGCATTAAGCACGGTGATGTGACGAGGCCGCCGAGCACAGCGGCAGTTTACTGGCAAGTATTTACTGACCATGATTATGTCCCAGGCACTGTGGGTACTGAAGTGCTAGACATCAGAGGCGTTCACAGTCTAGTGGGAAATAGAGAATGTAGACGGATACGACGCTGTGTGGGCAGAGAAGTGTGAACTGAGTGTTGCAATCAATCAGAATATTCCAGTTAATTCATTGTGGCCATTTATGCTCTACATGGATTTCCAATTCTTAAAGCCTTTGAATGCAGTAATACATACTTAATTTTAAAACTTCTTTGAATGTAATTTAACCATTGAAAATTTCTAAAACACAAGAGGATTTATACAAGGCTAAGGATCATTATTATGAACAAATACTGTGGACGTCTGTAATACATCGATCTCGTTAATAGAAGGGTTCACTGGACTAGACCTTGGGGACACTTAGGCCTTATTTCTGGTTGCCATTCTAGTTTCTCTCCTTAAACGGAAGCCTGGAGAGCACTTTGGCGATTCATTCATTCCACAAAAACCCACTCAATACTCCCTGTGGGCCAGGCACCAGGAGCAAAGGCTGATGGGTGATTGTAATAAGTGCCTTACATGCCAGCAGTTCTCTGCCTCAGTTGCTAAATAAGCAGGAAGAATAATAGCTCTTGTTTATTGGACCCTTACTGTACGTTGGCACTGTGCTAAGCATTTGACTCCTATTACTCATTTAATCCTCATAACAGTAAAACATGGGTCTCCTTTTCCTGTGTTTTATAGATGTGGAACATCGGGTACTGAAAGGTTGAACCTAGCCAAGGTCATACAGGAGTCGGGGGCAGAGCCAGACTCAAATCCCAGAATAGTACTCTGCACTGCAGGCTTTTAGTTACTATTATGTGTGTTAAGTGTACTTTTATGGGTGCCATGCTGCTGATTGCCCTCAGCTGTAATTCACCTGTCTCCCATTTGATTTTTTTGTAGTTTGTATTATTGTTATTAATATTACGGAGTCGTGATTGACCTACCAATGGGCAAGCAAAGTCTTGCAAGTTCGCTTTCTTGAATCCAAAGAGTCAATTCTAGATTCTGAGTTGTTTTGACTTGAGAGATTTAGTTTCCAATTTTTTTTTGAGGTTCTGGAGTTTCTTACAGAATGATGTTCCTTTTTCTTTGCTCTAGATTCAGATGAGGTATTTCCCAAGATTGACTGCAGATGGCCGATGTACTTGATTTACTTAATTCTAGACCACTCCAGCTTATGAGAAAGTTGGTGATTTGGCCAGGCCCAGTTGAGTGTCTCTGCCATGGATGGCCCAGTAAATATGAAGGAGGTCCATCAGTTTGGGACCGCCAAGTAATGGGGATCCAGAGCTCAATATGAACAGGTCCTTGCTTTTATTTTTTAAAGATTTTATTTATTTATTTATTCATGAGAAACACAGAGAGGGGAGCGGGCAGAGACACAGGCAGAGGGAGAAGCAGGCTCCATGCAGGGAGCCTGACATGGGACTCATCCTAGGTCTCCAGGATCAGGCCCTGGGCTGAAGGTGGCGCTAAACCGCTGAGCCACCCGGGCTGCCCAGGTCCTTGCTTTTAGAGCCTCACAGTATTGAAGAAAACTTGGAAGCAAACAAACAGCAACATAGTGTATTAAATGCAGCAATAGAAATACATGGAAGAATGTTTTAAGAGCTGCATGGATTCAAAGCAGGTCATTTAGAGCAGGTTGTTTGCTTGTGTGCCTCCTAGTTCCCTCATCTGTGAAATAGATAAAAGTATCTAAGTATCTAGCCCCGGAATCATGGTGGAAGTTAAATGAGTCAGTATATCAGCACTGTATTGAAGCCTGTGGAATAGAATCGTCCCCATTCTTGGTTATGCTGTAGTGCGAAAGAATTACTGGCTCTCTGTTGCACAGCCAACTTTGTGCCATCCTGCTGTTGCTGTACGGAGTTAAGGAATGTAATAATATTTTTTAAAATGAGTCAATATATGGCACTTTGGACACTGTGACATGTAGAAAGTACTCTTATCATATTCAAAATCTATAAAATATGGAAGTAGCACAGAGAATGAGATCATTTACATCTTTGGGGAGTCAGGATAGCCTTCCCAGAGTACTTCCTGAAGTGGGTTTTGAAGGGTCTGGGAGTTCAGTAAGATTCAGGGGGCAGGAAGTACAGAAAGAACAGGTGCATCGGTATTACTCCACAAGGTGGTAGGAGTGAAAACCCACACACACCTTCAGTACTCAAATTCAGCTTGGTATAGTATAGAAGTGTGGCTTGACATGTTGAGTCCTATCTTGGCCTGATAGAAGAATGTGGAGGGCAAGCGATCTCTGCCTGGGACCAGGTGGAACGGATGAGCAGCTAGGCAGGACTACTCTCCTTCAGTCGTACACTCAGGTTCAAAAATATGCAAACAACCTAATTGCTCCCTTATTTGCAGCATGCTCTTCCACTTTGATTCATCCCTGAACATATTTCTTTAATATAGTCCCAATTGAAGTGACAGTGGAAACCAGCCTTCGTGAATTACATATTAGAAGTTTGAAGTCCCAATCCTTTATCCTCCCACCACTGCAGCCTAATTAATAAAGACAAATAGGGAGCAGGAGCTAAGTGGGGTCAGATGCACTTCACTAATGAAGGCCCAGTAACTCCTCACTGGAATAGAGGACCTAAGTAAGAGCTGAGGCTGAAGACAGAGTTCTTTATCCTTTTTCTCAGTTGGTGATGACTGGTTGGCCACTGTGGTGCGCGGTTGGCCTGACTTACCATTTGCAGGTGAAAAATCTGGAAGAGCTGAAAGAAGGCATCCAAATGGCCAACAGATACATAAAAGACACTAAACATCACTAATCGTCAAGGAAATGCAAATCAAAATGACAATAAGATACCGCCTCACACCTGTTAGAATGGCTAAGCTCAAGAAGACAAGAGATAACAAGCCTTGGCAAGGCTGTGAGGCAAAGGGAACCCTCATACACTGTTGGTGGTAATGCAGTTGTTTCAGTCATTATGAAAAACAATAGGGAGTTTCCTCCAAAAATTAAAAATAGATATACTTATTCCACTTAAGGATATATACTCAAAGAAATGAAAACAGGCTATCAAGGCTGTACATGCATGCCCATTTTGTTGCAGCATTACTTACTGTCGCTAAGATACAGAAACAACCTGAGTACCCATTAACAGATGAATGGATAAAGAAGAGTAAAATAGATTATTTTCAGGAATATTGTTGAGGGCAGCCCCAGTGGCGCAGCGGTTTAGCACCGCCTGCAGCCTAGGGCGTGATCCTGGAACCCTGGATCGAGTCCCATGTCAGGCTCCCTGCATGGAGCCTGCTTTTCTCTCTCTCTCTCTCTCTCTCTCTCTCTCTCTCTCTCTCTCTCTCTCTCTCTCTCTCTCCCCCTATGAATGAATGAATAAATAAATACTTTTTTAAAAAGGAATATTGTTGAGCCGTGAAAAAGAAAATCCTGCCATGTGTGGACCTTGAAGGAATTATGCTGAGATTAGAGAAAGACAAATAGTCTGAAATGTGGAATTCACTTTTATGTGGAGTCAAAACCAAATTCATAAAAGCAGAGAGTAACATGGAAGTCCCTGGGACTGGGGGCAGTGGAGGGTGGAAGAGATGTTTAAGGGTACAAACTTGCAAGTAGTGGTAAATAAGTCCTAGAGGTAATGCACAGTGTAGTGAATGTAGACAAGAAGATTATAATAATCACATTTGCTAAGACACTAAATCATAACCCAACCACAAAAATGGACTAATTTTGTGATGCAAGAGGTGCCAACTGTTAAAATCACAGTCATCTGACAATAGATAAATGTATCAGATCAACATGTATACCTAAAATAACACGATGTTAGATGTCAAATTTATTGCAGTTACTAAAAATTGTCAAATGGGAAGCTCCAAAGAGATACCAGGGTAGCATGAAACTACTGATAGCACTTCAGAAACAATGATCTCTCATCAGTGATGTTGAAAGGAAACCTTTTAAAAAATCCTACAGAAGAGGAGCACATCCGTGGCTCAGTTAAACATCTTCCTCCGGCTCAGGTTATGATTCCAGGAGCCCTGGGATCAAGCCCCACATCAGGCTCTGCTTAGCAAGGAGTCTGTTTCTCCTTCTGCCCCGTGCTAACGCTTGCATATTTTTTTTCTCTCTCTTTCTCTCTCTCTCTTTCTCTCTGAAATAGACCTTTCAAAATAAAAATCGTACAGAAGAGAAAATATAAAACACATTAGAAGGACTTGATCTAAACTTTATGAAGATCTCTCAAAGTTCAATAACAGAACAAAAAGCCCGTTTAAAAATGGACAGTAGGGGCTCCTGGGTGGCTCAGCAGTTGAGTGTCTGCTTTGGGCCCAGGTTATGGTCCTGGGGTTGAGTCCTGCATTGGGCTCCCCAGAGGGAGCCTGCTTCTCCCTCTGCCTGTGTTTCTGCCTCTGTGTGTCTCATGAATAAATAAAATCTTTTAAAAAATTAAAAATGAACATCAGATGTGCACATACACCCCATCAAGAGGATATGGATGGTCAGTTAAGCACAGAAAAGCTACTCAACATCACTGGTTGAGAGACCTGCAAATAAAACCACAAGATAATGTGTATACCTGTCAGGAGGGCTGGAGTTTCCAAGGCCCAAGTGCTGATGAACATGCAGAACAACTAGAGCTCTAACATTGTTCATGGAGGTGCAAAATCACACAGGTACATTGACAACCAGTTGGGCAGCTTTTTGTAAACTTAAACATACCACCATACAACCCAGCAATCCCACCCCTAAGTATTTGCCCCAGAGAAGTGAAAATCATCCGTGCACACACAAAACCCTGTACACAGATGTCTATAGCAGCTTTACCCTAATAGCCAAAAACTGGAAGAAACACCCACCCACCCACCCCCCGCTAAATGTCCACCAGCTTGTGACCAGATAAAACAGATGGGGTGCAGGCCTGTGCCGGAATGCTACTCAGCAATGAGGACAGAGGGCCTGCCGCTACAGCCGTGTGGTGAATCGCGTCTGCGCTGTGCCGAGTGAAAGGAGCCAGGCTCCCAGGGCTACATACCGTATGCTTCCATCTCTAGGACATTACAGAAATGGCAAAACTAGACGGCCAACAACCCAGGTCAGTGTTTACCTGGGGCTGAACCTGTGTGGAGGGACTGATGACGGACACCAGGGAAGGTCTTGGTGATGGCAGTCCTGACTGTGGTGGTTACAGAACTGTGGGTGTTGAAACCTAACCTGCACATTTAAAAGGGTGACTTCGGGGCAGCTGGGTGATTCCATTGATTAAGTGGCCAGCTCTTGATTTCAGAGTCCAGAGTGCTAACCATTACACTATGGAACCCAGCTCTTGATTTCAGATTATGATCTCAAAGTCGTATGATCGAGACCCACACTAGGCTTCGCACTCAGTAGGGAGTCAGCTTGAGGAGTCTCCCTCTCCTTCCAGCTCACACTTGTGATCTCTCTCTGTCTCAAATCTTAAAAAAATAACTTCTGCATGTAAAGTATATGCCAATGAACCTAGCTTTAAAAAATTAAATAGAGGCCACAGTAACTTCTTGCAAGGTACATCTATGAAAGCAAAGGAAACAAAAGCAAAAATGAACTATTTGGACTTAATCAGGATAAAAAGCTTCCTCACAGCAAAAGAAACAACAAAACTAAAAGACAACGTACAGAATGGGGGAAGATATTTGCAAATGACGTATCAGATAAAGGGCTAGCATCCAAGATCTAGAAAGAACTTATTAAACTCAATACCCAAGAAACAATCCATTCATGAAATGGGCAAAAGACATAAACAGAAATCTCACAGAGGAAGACATAGACATGGCCAACAGACACATGAGAAAATGCTCTGCATCACTGGCCGTCAGGGAAATACAAATCAAAACCACAATGAGATCCCACCTCACACCAGTGAGAATGGGGAAAACTAACAAGACAGGAAACAACACATGTTGGAGAGGATGTGGAGAAAGGGGGACCCTCCTGCACTGTTGGTGGGAATGTGACCTGGTGCAGCCACTCTGGAAAACTGTGGAGGTTCCTCAAAGAGTTAAAAATAGACCTGCCCTACGACCCCGCAATTGCACTGCTGGGGATTTACCCCAAAGATACAGATGCAGTGAAACGCCGGGACACCTGCACCCCGATGTTCACAGCAGCAATGTCCATGATAGCCACACTGTGGAAGGAGCCTCGGTGTCCATCGACAGATGATGGATAAAGAAGCTGTGGTCTATGTATACGATGGAATATTCCTCAGCCATTAGAAACGACAAATACCCACCATTTGCTTCAATGTGGATGAACTGGAGGGTATTATGCTGAGTGAAGTAAGTCAATCGGAGAAGGACAAATAGTGTATGTTCTCATTCATTTGGGGAATATGAATAATAGTGAAAGGGAATATAAGGGAAAGGAGGGGAACTGAGTGGGAAAGATTAGGGAGACAAACCATGAGAGATTCCTAACTCTGGGAAACAAACAAAGGGTTGTGGAAGGGGAGGTGGGTGGGGGGATGGGGTAGCTGGGTGACAGGCACTGAGGGGGCAGTTGATGGGATGAGCACTGGGTGTTCTATATGTTGGCAAATCGAACTTCAATAAAAAGTAGAATGAACATGGAAACATGTCTAATGGGGAAATGGTAAATAAACTATGACTCATCTATATTATGGAATGTCTGCAACAGTTAAATATTAGATGAATATATTGACTGGGAAGGGTTCATTAAGTATAAAAAATTTCAAAACTTAATAGTAAGGTCCTATTTATATTAATAAAAACAAAATACATTTTTTTAAGTAGGCCCCACACCCAATATGGGGCTTGAACTCACAACCTTGAGACCAAGAGTTGCATGCTCTGTCTACTTCATGGTCATGAACAGTCTTGTGCTCTTTTAACGCCTAGAAGATACCTAATCAT